ATTTGTACAGTGCAGTTTATAACATTTGTCATCACACAGCACTAAACATAGTAAGATATAGACCTTACAAATATAAACAGAGAACCCAACAATCCATGAATGAACATTTGTGGCTTAAATATAATCAGGAAAGTTAGAAAGCTGCTTCAGTTTATATTTTAAATGGAAAACTCAGTGAAAAGTTCACCTAGTGCCGTACCTACACAAGCAAGGAATGACCGGATATCTTTACACACCTGAAAGTAACAACTGATGCAATATTAAATCATCGTCATCTACAGTCAGTTCTATCTGACGCAGTTTGAAAGAAATCTGCAAAAGACTCAAGTTATTCAGATGATAAAAACACTTCAAAGGAGCAACACACTTTAACCAACAATGTAAATATACAGATGTCTATACGTGCTAAAGGTGCATGGAAAGTTAGTTTGCATTGGCAAATAAAAAAAGAAACAAATGAGAAGGCATACGAGCATAACCTTTGGCATGAATGATACTAAGACCTGCTCTGGTAGATGTGGTTGTGAGGAGCAATATAAAACATTGTTTAACCGTCTTTCCAGAAACAACAAAAGAAGATATTCAGGAAGAAAAAAAAAGTAACAAATTTTTGTGTCATTACCAGATTACTGGGATCATCAGTGAAACCAAAAAAAAATTGAAAATAATGTCTGATACAATAATAAAAATTCCACATTGTTGTAATTGCAGGTCAAATTTTGCACAGCTATGCATCGAAAACATGTCTTTCAGGGTTTCACTGGAGACAAAATACGTGCAATCTTCTACAGTCAGGTTATTATCTGCATCTTTAGAGAGGTACGGACTTTGAAGACATGTAGCATCCAGCTCTATTGTTTTACAGTGGAATAGACACATTGACTCTCAGTGTTCCTTTGTCTTTTTGGTCTGTTGGGTGGCTTAACACTTATCGAAGCATAGTGGAGATTGTCTGCATCCTGGTTAACCTGTGACAAGAAATTTGACATGCAGATGAAAATGTGGTTCCTTTAACTAATGGCTGTGCAACAAAATGTGTCTGAGTGTTCATTTAACAGTGATCTAAACAGGTTAGATTTACCTCTGTGGAGGGAGCTGAAAATCTGTCTGGAGACTCTGTGAAACACATAAACCGCAAATTTAATTGAAAAGCCAGAATCACTGAATGCAAACTATCAACAATAGACACTAAGTGTTGCCTGTACCTGATTGGAATCTGCTCTTTTTGCTCATCTTGAAAAGTAAGAAAGCCAATAAAACAACCAAGGCGGCGGTGAATGTCAAAGCTCCACTCAAGAAATACACCAAGAAAAGAGATTTCCCCTCATCTATAGAGAGCCAGATGTCAGGAACAGAGATTTAAGTTTTCATCCTCAATGAGGTGAGAAAATATAAATTACAGTTCTTATCAAATGAGACGTACTACATACCATCAGTGTCCAGCTTTGTTCCATTTCCAAACACGATGTGTCCACATGACGCAACAGCACAGTAGTAGGTTCCAGCATGAGACAGGTTCTTTATCGGCAGGTTGTGGACACAGGTTTGTGTTTGTGTGTTGGGTTTCTTCCCACACTGATCATTTGTGCCTCCTTGAGTGTAAATAATCCTTGGAAGGGATTCTTCTTCAGTTCTGAACCAGTATACACTGTGTTCTCCATCACAGATCCCAGTGTGTACTGTACAGCTCAGAGTTGCAGGGTCTCCTGGTTGGCTGGTTTCAGACGCCGACTTCTGGACCAAAGCTTGGAAGTTTAAACCTGAACCCTTCACACTGACAACAATACCTTCTGCAAATTCCAGATTGACTGCAACTCTTCTTGCACAGTAGTAAGTTCCTGAGTCTGAAATACGCAAATCTTTAATATGAAAGTGATTGTTTCCTGCTTCATTAGTCATTGTGAATCGTGAATTATTCTGA